CGAAATGACTTCAAGATAGTGGCAGAGACTCATTGGCACTTTGGTGGTGGAGCTGCACAAACTAATTTATGCCAAGAGCACATATATGATTTGAGTTTTCAAATGATCTATATCTATATTAGATATCTAATATTCCTTGGCAAGTTTATCTTCATCATCAGTTTGATGTGATCAATATGACTAGAATGACCATTTACAAAAATGTTTTTTTGGTTTTGGGGTCCCACCCGCTGATGCTCAGGGGTTACTCCTGGCTCTTTGCCCAGGAATCACTCCTGGTGGTGCTCAAGGGACCACATGGGATGTTGGGGGTTGAACCCAAGCTGGTCACATGTGAGACGACCAAGAGTATAAACATTAGCACTATTATAACCATATTACATCAGTAACAGTGAAGTATATGTTTGTTTGGTTTTTTTAATCAGAATCCTCTTGAGAAGAGAAGATCTAATTCAATGATGCAATTAACAGATCTTTCTTTTTCCAGAAAGTTTTCCTGTACATAATCCGAGCAGTTCCTTTTTTAATATAGTAAAGTACTGCTGCCCGCTTGGTTGATCGGTTCCCTACTGTTGGCCTGTTTCTTAAACTGAATTACAAAAATTTCTTTCCCCCTCTCTTTCGTGCTTTGTTCTTGCACTGGCCGGTGGTCATACGTGTGGTCGCAGTGCTTGTCAGAGATTGCACACTTTAGCTTTGCTCTCCTATGGCCACACGCTTTGGTTGAGCTGCGGGGGGGTCACTCACTGTAGCAGCAGTGCCACAAGGATCACATTAGACTTGTGGTTTCGTGTCAGCAGGAAACTGGCCGCTTCATGCCTGCAGAAGCCCTGAACCACCGAGCCACATCCCTGAACTCTGGAAATCTTAATTGAAGGATTATAATTTAGGCCACAATTTACAATGGTATTGATGTGTTAATTTATGGGTTGGATGGTTGGTGGTTGGTTTGGGGCCAGACCCATTGGCACTCTGGTCTTACTCCTGGTTTTGGGCTCAGGAATCTTTCCTGGAGGACCCAGGGGACTCTTTGTGGTGCCAGGTTGGCCACATGCAAGGCAAGTGCCTTATGGTGCTGATGCTTATGGTTTTGAGTTTATCAGGCCTAAGACCTTTTACTAATGTCCTTATGCTACTTCCGCTACACCTTAAGCTCAGAAAGTTTTAGTCTTTGTTAATTTTTTTTCTCTTAATGAGGGTAAGGTGGATATTTTTCCTCCTAGTGTTATAACCGCACTACAGTTTTGTAATTGAAGAGGTTTTATTTATAATGCATTCATTGTTGGCTGATTTTATTAATAGTAAAATTTTCTTTCTAGCAAGTCATATATGGGTTTATCACTTTGTGTTGTTGTTTCATATTAAATCTGTGCTAAATTAAAACTACATTCAGGAGAATATTCATAATCCTAGATTTAAAAAAAAAAACTTTTTACCTCACAAAAATAGAGCATATAGTTTTGATATACAATCTCTTTTTTTTGTGATATCTCTTGAAAGTAACAGAATTTTAACACAATATCTGTTCTATTTCTCTTGAAATTCTTTTCTTTTTTTAACTTTTGGGCCACATCCAGCAGTGCTCAGGGATCTGCACTCAGGGATCACTTGTGGCAGTACTCTGGGGACCACATGGGGTACCAGGGATTGAACCCAGGTCAGCCATGTTCAGGGCAAGCGCCCTATCCTCTGTACGATCTCTCTAGCCCCAAAGTTATTTTCTGATTCCTGCTTTTTACACAACTTGAAAATTTTTTTGAATCAGAGCGTTCTTCTGTTTTTTTAATATATTGGAATGTGTTTTAAATTTTTCAATTAATGAAGTATATTCCTGATTTAGTTCAGTGCCCCATTCACATGACTTTTGATGGGATGGGGTAATCTCATAATCAGATGAGCATTTTCATTGCTTAGTACAAAAGATGCCTTGGGCCTTTTTCCCCCCCTGCATGTCAAAGAATTTAAAAAGAAAAAAGTTCAAGACATCTGACATATGGCCTAAATTTTATTGTGAATTCACTTTTTTCTGTTTACACACACACACACACATACACGCGCGCGGGCACACACACACACACTTACTTTCTATTACCCCAGGGATGCCCCATACATTTCACCACACATTTTCTAGTCTGTGGCTATGTGCATAGGTCCCATCATATTTCTACATAAGCTGCATGAAAATTTGAGACTTTATTATGTCTCTTTCCCCAGAAGTGACTGCCTCATACATTTGCATGGCTCTGTAGAAGCTGCAGATCGTCTTCAAGGGAAAGTACGATACAAAAATGAAAATGATATGCCACGTAGGTGCCGTGTGTTGCGTGTGTCTGAGCAAAGCCTGTGTTCCAACGCCAGCCCCGGCTGTCAGCAGGTGCCAGAGCTTAGCCACATTTACATGAAGTGTCTTCTGTCTGCATGGGAGAACTTGTTTATGTATTTATAATCGACACTTCCATTTCAGTGACTCCTTTTATAGTTACGTAAGTTAGATGAAACTGACCTGCGTTGTTAAACTAGTAAGACACTGCGTCAGGGGCTGGAGCGATAGCACAGCAGGTAGGGTGTTTGCCCGATAATCCTAACTTTTCTATAATTTCATATACAGGAAATGACAGGATATTGCCTTTGATTCCATTGTCTGACTTCTTTCGTGGTGCTTTTGGGTCCCATCATGTTGCGTATGTCAAGAGTTTATTCTGACCTAGGGGCTAGAGCACTGAACAGTGGGTCAGGTGCTTGCTTTGCTCACAGCCTACCCAGATGGCTCCCCGGCACCCCAGATGGTCCCCTAAGCACTGCTGGGGTGTAACCCAAAAACTATTTTTAAAAAAGTTTGTTTTGTTTTATTTATGAGTAGTATTCTACTATATGGATGTAACACAATATTTTTACCCCTTGGAATGTATTTATATTGTTTTTGGTTTGGGCTATAAATAAAGCTTCTATGAACATCTGCATTCAAGCCCTTTTATGTATTTATGTTTTCATTTTTCGTGGTTAAATACCTATGAGTCTGTGGTAAGTATATAACGTTACTGTGTTGTTGTTGTTGTTCGCGTTTGGTTTTGTTTTGTTTTGCTTTGTTTTGCTTTTTGGTCCACACCTAGTGATGCTTAGGAGTTACTCTGGTTCTTCACTTAGGAATTACTCATGGTGGTACTTGGGGACTATATGGGATGCTGGGTATTGAATCCGGGTTGGCTGTGTGCAAGGCAAACGCCCTGTCTTCTCTGTCTTCTGTACTATCTCTCTGGCCCTGTAAGTGTATAACTTTATAGAAACTTCCAAACTGTTCCCAAACTATTTGCACCATTTTGCATTCCTACCAGCAGTGGATGGAAGTTGCACTTGTTTCACATCCTTTGCCAACACTTAGATACCATATGTGTGTGTTTGTGTATTGGGTCTTTTTAATTTTAGCATTTAGTGGGTGTGTGGTAGAATCTCAAATGTGGCTTTTAATTTATGTTTCCCTGATGACTAATGTTGAACTTTTCTCTTGTGCTTGTTTACCGTTTATATATTTGCTTTTATGAAATGTCTGTTCAGTCTTTTACTACCATTACCTTTTTTCTTCTCTTCAAAAGCATTTGTCTGTCTTCCTACTTAAGAGTTATGGATACAGCTCCATGATCAGATAGGTTTTCAGTTTGACAATGTCCATCTACATTTTCTTTTCTTTTTCATGATTGATCAGGAACCCTTTGCGCTCACTCTGTAGCTTTCTGTGTTCACATTCTCTTCAGTCCTCTAGCTCTCTCCCCTAATTTTGCTGTCTTGCATTGCCGACATTTCTCCCCTAGTTCTGTTTCCGTTCTTCGTCCATCTGCAGCAGCCTAGACATGGCTGCACGGCAGTAGCTGATGCATCTCACAGACAACCTTGGGTTTTGGAACCACCATCGTTTTGGACTGCTTTAACTGTTGTTATTGTGTGTTCATATCCAGTAGCAATAAACACCAGTAATGCCCTTGTGGATAGTAGTTTGGCAGTGTCTTTAACAGTTTGGATTGTTGGTTAAGGAAGAGTAAAGGCTTGTAAGTTCAGATTCCACAACTGAATATTTATTATGGCGCGGGGAACCTGAGTGCCCAAAAGCCCAGGGAAATTGCCAGACAAGAGAAGAAGAATATCAGTCTTGTTTTTTCATCTAGAAGCAGGAGTCTCAGGCTCTTGGAGGATGTTCTGAATGTGAGGTAGTATCACTACAGAGCCGCAAAGCTGCAGCCGTGGATATGAAGGCAGTATATTGCTGAAGCAGGGCATGACTCTGTGCTCTGCTTCTTTAGGAGGGGAGCAAATAGGATACTTAACAAGGGGTGGGTAATCGCAATAGCTGAAAGCCCCCTGTGTTTTATATAAAGTTGTCGAAATTGCTGCCATTAGTTCAGTCTTAGTTCATAGAAAGAAGCAGATTTTTCTCCATTGTGAAAGCAAGGGATATTTTCCCATTGCCCGATTGAATTCCTTTGTGCTTAGTGGCCTAGTGTTGTTTCGAGTCGATGGCTCTGTGCATTTTTATGCCACTTGCCCCTAGGACAAGTTCCAGTTAAGGGATTTCCTCTTAAGAACATTTTTATGGGTTTCATGCTCAAAGGTCAGTTAAAATAGAAATTTTTATGCCCAGTTTTCCTACTTGGAGTGCTTTGCCTCCTTTTAATATTCTGTTGAACATTTTCCTATGGGAAGTCATTTTTACACATTTATCTTGTTGTAATGGAAAGGTCACCGCCTGCGTTTCCTTGCAACACGGGTGGAATTCACACACAGTGGTATGTAAACAGGTTTCTCCTCCCCAGTCTTTTTTTATCCCCCCTTAAGATTTTATTTTGCCTTTGTTTGAGCAGCCCCCAAAACAGCAATAACTTGGGCTTGCATATGTGCATGTGTGTCCCTGCAACATTTTAAAGCGTAAAGTAAGAAGACTGTGCTCTGTGAAGCCCAGGAGGTGCATGCATGATTAATTGCTCGATATCCTCTCCCTTATGTCTCCGCAGGAGTCTCCCCAGGACAGTGCCATCACCCGGGACATTAACCGGACGTTCCCAGCCCATGATTATTTTAAGGACACTGGAGGAGACGGACAAGATTCTTTGTATAAAATATGCAAGGTATGTCATGTCAAAAAAAGGGAAAAAAGGGATCCCCTGGTTCCTGTTCTTGAAATTATGCTAAAATAAGGAGGGGACACTATCAAATCAAAGGGACCAACACAGTGACAAACAGAAATTGATTCCAAATACTGGGAAAATGGTAGGGTTTCTTTTACCCTGTTAATTAGAGCTTTCACCTGTGAGGACTTGACAGGCAACAGTCTCCTGGTTCCTCATTCCTCATTGGACTTGGGAAGTTGACGGAAAGGGCTAGAGCTCATGCTTTGCATGTGGGAACCCCAAGTTCAGTCCCTGCTACCTCGGAGTTCATTGAGCATTGCCAGAAGCAACCCCGGAACCACCCTCAGGAGCCAAAATCCAAACCAAACCAGCAAAACTGTTGGTTTTAAGAACCCCTGGGTACTGTGACATTTACACATGACACATTTACACTGTTCGCCTGAGTCATGAAGTTGGTGCGTAGGGCTTAGTCAGCCTGGTGCCCGTCAGGTAGACTTCTTGAGCATTGCAGCTGAATGAATGATGGGCAGTACTCTTGCCCACCAAAAAGATTTGTATCTGAAAATTATATTTCCGGTAGAAAATAAGTATTCCTTTGGAGCCACTGGGCCAGGGCCAGGGGGGTAATACAGGGGTTAAGGCACTTGTCTTACATATAGCTGTTCATGGCACTGCATACAGTCACCTGAGCACAAAGCCCAGAGGAAGTCCTGAGCACAGCTGAGTATGTGCCCCCACCCCCGCGCCACCTCCCCCCCCAAAAAAGTAAAAAAGCAAAGTCAAGGTCATTGGACTAAAAGAGGGAATTTGAATCAGTTCTTCGACCTGCTTCTGTCCTTAGCACTACTAGTTTAATTCTTTTCCTCCCCTCCCAGCCCCCCATAACAAGTGAGTCACCTATTTCATATCTTTATAAGACGTACATGGAAGTAAGGGCTATACTAAAAGGAACTTCCCTATGATATAGAACACCAGCAGCTAGTTTTAGAACAGGCTGGGAATGAAAGACATGTCTCTTTGCTTTTTTAATGACATATTTTTTAATGATAAAGAGGCTTCAAGCCTCAGGAATTAGTGTTGTCCATGGTCAGTGGCTTAGAGCGTCTGCCTTGCAAGCGTATGGTCACGAGTTCAAAGCCCTGGTGTCTCACGTGTCTGAAGCGTGCCCCTGGCAGCCCTGCTCTTAGGATCTGGTTGCTGGCCCAGGCCCTGCACACAGCGGCTCCTGCACCTCCACCCAGTGTTGAGCCCTGCAGAAGACAGTCCAACCTCTGGCCAGCAGCCTCCTGTGGGCACTGTGGCCTTAGCCTGTGGGCGTCCACTAAGTGCAGGCACCACCGTTATTCCTGTGCAAAGCGCATTGAGCAGCATGGCCAGGCTTCCTTGCCCCTGAATCTAACGTGCAACCGCAGGCAAGCCCCACAGCCAGCAGCGGAGGGGGGAGATTTTTTTTAACTATAAGGAGTTAGGATTTAGTTAAACATTGCTTGGCTTTTAGTATCCTTCTAGGATGCACGGAGTTGTCTGTGATTTCTGTCACCATCCTCTTTCCTCTTCTCCAGTCGTCCCTTTTTTTTTTCCTCTTTGGGTCACACCCAAGCGATGCTCAGAGGTTACTCCTGGCTCTGCACTCAGGAATTACTCCTGGCAGTATTCGGGGCACCATATGGGATGCCGGGGATCAAACCCAGGTCGACCATGTGCAAGGCAAACACCCTACCCACTGTCCCATCACTCTGCCCCTACCACCCCCCGCCCCAGTCATCCCTCTTGAGCTCACCCTGAGCTGCACCCGTCCCTCTGTGTAACCAGTCCAGCCACCCCTAACTTTACTACAGAGTTTTCCAGAAAATAAGCCTGTGCTCACTGCCTCGGGTTCCTCCCACCCCGCTGCCCCTCCTGCCCGCTCTCGTTCCTGCCTCACGACACCTCCTTGCCGCCTTCCCGGCGTCTGACTTCTTTCCCTCCCCACCAGGCCCACTTCTCTGTTTCACTGGCTCCTCAGCTCCTTCCCTCTCTCTCTCTCTCCCTGCTCCGCAAACAGGGACCTTCGCCCACGGGCTCAGCACTTCCTGTCGCCCAGCACCACCTCCAGTGAGTGACCGTTCCCATTCCTGAAACTGTGGTTATGGCCACTTCATGGCTGTTCCCACACCCACTTTACACTTTAGCTCAAGTTCTAACTTCCGGCTGCCAGTGGGTCTCCTTCAGAAATTCTTCAAGTAAAATAAAACAGATCTAAAATAGTGCATTTAAAAACATTTCACCATGAACATTTTCAAAGGAATGCTAGAATGAATGTACCTATGTGTATGTAACTTCATTATAATATATAAATTTATATACCAGTGTATATAAATTCATTTCAACTTTGAAAAATGAAAAAATTATATATGTATATATATATGCGTGCCAAGATTTAATATTTGTCAATATCTTGCCACAGTTGCTTCCGCTAACTCTCCCCCCCCCCCCCCCCGTTTTGTTTTGTTTTTTTTTATTTTTGATTCACACCCAGTGATGCTCAAGGGTTACTTATGGCTCTGCACTCAGGAATTATTCTTGATTTCTCAGGGACCATATAGGATGCCAGGGGTCCAGGTCAGCCCCCAGCAAGCCCTTCAGTCAGTTTTCCTGAAGCACTCTAAAGAAAAACCTAGGTGTGATAACCACAAATTCTATACACCTCTAAAAAAATAGGGTTATCCATTAGTACCAAGCAATGTTTATTATATATTCAGATTTTCCTAAATATTACGTGTTCTATATTTGGTTAGACTCAGGATCCAGCAATATCTGTCTATAGTATGTTTAGATTCTTATTCTCCACTAACAACCTCCCATGTCATTATTTTGCTAAAGATTTAGTCATTTCTCCGCTGATTTCCTATTTGTATTCCTTTCTTTGGCCACATTGAATTTGGTAGGATTGGTGTCTCCCCTTTCCTGACCATACTGTTACTTTTCATTAGGGTGGGATAGGAGGGACTTTGGGGCCACTCCCAGGGGGTGCTCAGGGCTTACTCCTCACTCTGCACTCAGGAATCACTCCTGGCAGTGCTTAGGGGATCATATGGGATGCCAGGGATCAAGCCCAGTTCGACCTCGTGCAGGGCAAGCACCCCGCCCACTCACCGCCCACTCACCGTCCTATCTCTCTGGCCCCTCTGTTAACCCTTTCAGACCTATGTCTTCCACTTTGGGTTCTAGCTTGTTAGAAATTTCTCCATATTGGATTCAGATTTGGATTATTTCGGTGGCCTCTAAGAAAGCCTTTAGTGCCTTTAGTGCTTCCCCATCACCTACAGAATAAAATTAAATTTCCCTAATTCATTTGCAGATTCTAGATGCCTCAACTTAGTATTTAAGATATTTTGTAATGTAGGAACAGGAGCCATAGTACATCAGGGAGGGATGAGCATCACCGGGTATGACCCCCTCCCCCCGAAAAAAGATATTTTGTAATATATCTTTTTTTTTTTTGAAACAATCCCCCAGCATTTATTGCCATCAAATACTAACATAATAGTGATCCAAACAATATGAATAAATGTTTTAAAACTACTTTCCCCAAAGAAACACCTAAAAAACAAACTGCAATGCCTTCTCAACGATTTCTCACTTCACCCATGGTCTCTAGCTGGAGACACTCTGGAGCAGAGTAATATTATCTTCTTTCAGCATGATCTGACCCAGTTGTTTTCTTGACTTTGTTTTTGAGTGAATCTCTTCTGCACCATCTAACACAGGGTTCAGATACTCAGCAAAACCAATGATGCGGCCCTCTATCCACATATTCACTTGCTCATAAAGCCACACCCAAATCCGAGATTTATTTTGCAAGTATCTGAAGATGAGGTTGATGGGCTGCACCATCACCTTCTGCACTTTCTGGCCCTGGCCACATTGCGAGTTCACAAAGACCTCACAGTCCTGCACGCTGGCTCCAAGGCAGCTTCCGGAGTACTCTATAATGTATCTTGACTTATTCACTGAATACTTAGTTTTTAACCACATTGGAATTCTCACTGTATGGTGGTTGACTTACTTGTTAGAAGTCCCGGCTGGACTCTGAAGTTTTCTAGGGTAGTTAACCATTTTGTGTCTATATTGCCATCTATAGCACACTGCTTGGCATGTGACAGGTATTTACTATTTGTAAATTAATGAAATGCCTTCTCTTCCATACTTCAGTATGGCCTACCATGAACCTTGTATTCCAGACATTTCTCAAATATAATCACCCAATTCCTGTCTGTATGCATTCCTCCAAGCTTTCCTTGAGCCTGAAAAATATCCTCTCCTTTGATCTTTGCCTATGGAAACACAGAGTATTTTCACCGTAGTCTATCAAGGATCAGTCACATGCTGAGCCCTTGACAGAGAATAATATCCTGACTTTATGGTGTAAATACTATAAATATCCTTACAGGTATGGGAAATAAGGAACAAACCTGAGGTTCAGACCTGGAGAGTAGCAATTGTGAGATTTTAGCCTGACCCAGAAGCCTTTCCCCCTTTCCTTTTTTTGTTCCTTTGATGAATGGGAGTTGCATGCTTCCTGGTAGTGTGTGTGGGGGGGGGTGGGGGGAGGTATATGTGCGTGTGTGCGGGTAAGTGGGGTCTTCACACCTGACTGTAGGGCTTGCATACCCTGGTTGCAGTGTAACTAGAGATAACACTTTGGTACTGGTGTCAGCAAGCTCAAACAGAAAAGCTGCTGTGATCAGCATGTTTCTTGCTCTATACCGCATAACACAAAGAGAACATATTGAATTCAGTGTGAATTTATGAAAACATGAGTATGGATGTCTAAATAAGACTAGATTTCCACCAAAAGATAATGCAAACTCTATGCTAATTTGTTATTAAATGAATATTGACACAGCAGTTGACTAACTGATCTGAATTCTAACCATGCCCAATTCTAATTTGTTTTCTTGGGACTTACAAATCTTGAACAGGAAAAAAACCCCAATAATATGTGGAGAATAAGGGAGTTTCACCAGGAATATAGTTGTCAAACATCATATAACATCTTGACCTATAGGAATTCTCTTTCTACTGCAGCTTAAATGAGAGCTGTAAATTTAGTAATAAGAACAAAGCTCAAAAAAACAGCCTTAAGGACAAAAGAGTAAACCACAAGGAATGTTAGATGTCAATATTCCATTAAAGATAATGTTCAGCAAAGAGGGATAGGAGTCGTCTGCCAAGAAAAATTCAAAATAAGAATTCCAGAGGAACCCACAAGTGGTTTCAGAGTGATCCTTCTTATCAGAAAAGTTATTACTGGCATTGTGGAAAGAACTGTATTTTTGTGTCTTTGCCAAAAAGACTTTTTCCCAGAAAGAGAAAAAGGATAACGATGACAGTATTTAGTGAGTGCCTGTTCTGTGCTGGTTTGGCTGAGAAGCTATCACCTCAGCCCTTAAGAAACTTCCATCAAGTAGAAGGTAGGCGTTCCAAGAACCATAATAGTCATGTGTTATAAGTGTCATAGGAACATAGGATGGAGAGAGTACTCTGGCAGAATGGAGTACATTTGGAATCTGAAGGAAGAGCACATTGTTCAAAGGAAAAATAAGGGGGAAAGGCCTCTGAGGCTGAGGAGGCAACTTGTGCTAGACCCAGGAGATACAAGCGCCTTTTATTTATTTATTTTTTATTTTTGGGTCACACCGGGTTATGCACAGAGGTTACTCCTGGCTCTGCACTCAGGAATTACTCCCGGCAGTGCTCGGGGGACCATATGGGATGCTGAGAATTGAATCCGGGTTAGCTGTGTGCAAGGCAAATGTCTACCTGCTGTGCTATCGCTCCAGCCCCACGAAGGCCTTTTCTTAATGCTGAAGTGATTAGAGCCTCACTTCTCCTCACTCCTGGGCTATAGAAAGCGGTAGGGTGACGGCCATATTTTGTAGAGAAATAAACTGCGATTGGGGAGAGATGTTGGCAACTCAGTGAAAATCAGAATGTCACAGTAGACTTGAGTTCTTCTGTCTTTGGGAAAGCTCTGGCCCGTGGGTGACCGCGCTCATCTGTACCTCCCGGTGTGTCTGTTTTTGTTGTAGGCCTATTCCGTGTACGACGAGGAGATTGGCTACTGCCAGGGCCAGTCGTTTCTTGCTGCTGTTCTGCTTCTACACGTGAGTAATCAGAACCCTGTTACAGCTTAATGTGGACTCCGCTTATGTTGCTCTGACTTGAGCATGGCTTGATACTGGCTTTGGCCTGTCTCTGGAGCATGAACTTCAACTTCTCTCTCAAGGAGTTGTTTTTCTCTGAGTTAGTGCTGTCAGGGGCTGGAGACCTAGAATAAGCAACAGTGTTGAAAACTAGTAGACCGTTTTTATTGCCAGGATGACTGGACAGACTTTAGTCTTTGTGGGAACCATGGGACGTTTATCTCCCTGAAACTGCCAGTTCCGCTATTGTCGGGAGATACATGTATTACAGTGTGCGAGAGGCAGAGTATTGGCCTTCTTTAGTCCCATTTTACTCATTTTATCCATTTATCCATTCATTTACCCTCGTGGACCTTTAACCTCAAACTTACCAATGCTCCTTCAGAGCCTCAGCAAAATCTAAGCAGTATTACTGGAATGTGAACACCTACACTCGCCTTGTCTCCGTTATCAGTTCACTTTTTCTAAACTCTCTTTCTAATCTCTCTAACAACAACAGAAGTGTGTATGTGTAATGTTTTAGGACCCAGCCAGTGGAGTTGGGGGCCATGCAGAGCAATGCTCAGACCAGAGGTGCGGGCCTGAGAGTTCAGTACTCAGACCTAGTACTAGAGTGCTACTTGAGTGCCAGCAGTTACAACCAGCTGTGCTGGGAAGCCATGCAGTCCCTAGGGCTCAGACTCAAGGCCTTGCAGATGCTCTACCACTTGAAGTATCGTGGTAGTCTTTCTTTTTCTCTTTTTTTTTAATACTATTTTTTGCTTAGGTGACGTTGATGTTGTTGTTGTTGTTGTTTGCAAAGCAAACATTATGACATCTCACTCTTATGACATCTCACTCTTGAACTTGCAAGCACAGATCTCCTAAGAAATGCTTAGTGGTATCCTGGAGATTCCATACTGATTCAGTTATGCCTTAGAAAAAGTCTGTGTTCATCTCCCCCCCGCCTCCCTGCTTTTTGCCCAATGGAGTCCTGTATGGTTTTTTTTTTTTCCAAGATTGCTGATCATCTATTGCATTTGGTTGTAATAGGATTTTCTTAGTCTGAGCCATCTCCTTACCTTTTGTGTTACACACCATTGACAAATTCAGTGCAGTTTTTTTTATTTTAATGAATCTCCATTAGATTATTAGACTTATTGTGATTACGTTTTAATCAAACGATGTTCAAGTACCCATCCCTCCACCAGTGCCCATTCTCCCCCCACCAATGTTTCCAGTGTCCCTTCCGCCACCCCCACCCTTTCCCACCCCCTGCCTCTGTGGCAGGCACATTTCCTCTTGCTCTCTCTCCTTTCAGAATTTCAATACAAACAATTTTTAAGACACTCCATGTCCCTGATTTGACTAATGATTTCTTCATTATTCAAGTTAAAATCTTCATCAGAAATTCCACACAAGTCATGTTTTTGAGTACCTCGTATTTTGAACAGTTAGCTTCTTTTGATGAGTTTTACACTGCTGGGAAGCTCAGCAGGGAATAAAGTGGACTCGTCCCCATAGTCTTGGGTCCAGTGCCAGTGAGGCCGACTAGCTTAAGGCATCAGATCATACAAATGCATCACTCTGTGGTAGTGGCACAGTGAGAGTACAATAGAAAGTTTGATACGAGATTTAACAAGGGAACCTTACTGACGGTGTAGCCTTCTCTCTGGGGAGGTGACTTTCAAAGTGAATCCTGGAAAAGAAGGGGTTTGTCATCTCTTTTTATACTTTGAAACCATTTTCAAAGCAAGAAAGTAGAGAGGGAAGATATACAATATACTGGAGCGCAGAAACAGATGGAACTGTGGTGTATTGGAAGAGCTGAGAGAAGGGCAGTGCGTCTGGCCTGGGAGATACTGCACGCTTACTTTGCATGCAGGAACCCTGGGTTTCATCCTCGGTGCCGCTCGGTCCCTGGAGTACCTCGTGCACTAACCTCCCAAGACTGCTAGGTACGGCCCGAACCCCATCAAGAAGGAAAGACCATGTGTTTCGAGCATCAAGAGAACAGGGACCTGGAGTAGGAGTTAGAAATTTTAAACCATATTGTACAGGGTACATTGTAAGTAAAACACCCTTCATGGCGCTTTCTTACTGTGAGCCCAGCTTGTGGTTATCTGTGTGAGAAAGCTACAACGGGAAAGAGGCCGCACACCTCCCCCCCCATCACCCCACCAGCAGCAGCAGCAGCAGTGCTAGGACAGTATAATCAGCACAGAAATTTGTGTTTAGATGCATGGGGCATCCAAAATCAGCACAAATTTTGTGAAACGGTCACAACAAAATCAATCAATTTTAAAGCAGTCACAAAACTAATAGTCTGGAGCTGGAGTGATAGATAGCACAGCGGGTAGGGCGTTTGCCTTGCACGCAGTCAACCCAGGTTTGATTCCCAGCATCCCATATGGTCCCCCGAGCGCTGCCAGGAGTAATTCCTGACTGCAGAGCCAGGAGGAACCCCTGTGCATCGTCGGTGTGTCCTAGAAAGAAAAAAAAAAATGATAGTCAAGAGGTCAAAATTTTGTTAATTTTAAAACCAGAATCCCACCATCCTATGTGGTTTGTTGTCTCTATCCCCAGCTCTAGTTCAAGGACATTTTTCTTCACTTATGTCTCACAGCCCCCTTCCAATATGCGTTGCCATCAGATCTAAGGGGTCTTGGTGGCCAGCATGTGCCTGTTTGAGCGTGCGGGCGGAGAGCTCCTTCTCCCTCAGTGTACGGAGGAGTGAAGTTATCTTCCATGACAGAGCAATCCAGATGCCCTTGGGTTTCTGAGAGTCAGCGGCCCTGCTTGCTGCGTTCATTACTGAATCCGATTTGCTCTTTAGCTCTGCTTTATTCCCAGTGGTTTCTCTGCTTAGCCCACTCCCATCCTGTTCTTCCCTCGAAGCCGCCCACCTTCTTGACATTTTGAAGGCTCGCTACAGTCACACCAAGCCTTAAATAACATTTCCAGTGCTTTTTTTTCCTATTTTGAAAACCAGACATTTTGCCAGATTCTTAGGGAAACATTTTTTTTTTCCCATCAAGCTATGGAAGATGCAGGTATTATAAGTTGCTAAATCTGTAAATAAGTCGGGTTGTTTTTTTTTTTTTTAGGGTTTTTTTTCCCCCAGTGTTATTGCGAGTGAGAAGTATTGTAGTGTTTAAGTATTACTGCAAACCTTAGGCGCTTCTTAAATAATCATGTCTTTAATAACAATAAGGGGAGAACACCGTTATTAGACTGGAATAGCAGCGAAGGAGGTGAGCTGATTGAACCCAGGTCCCGGTGCTGGGGAGGCTGAGATCTCACTGACCTGTTTCTCAGTGCCTGAGGCTGACTCAGATTTTCTCTTCCTCTGGTCCCACTTTTTTCCGTGATTTATATTGCAAATATTCTATGCTACTTGTCTTAGTGTTTCAGAACGGGACCGGTGTTTGATATAGAGTAAGCATCATTGAGTAAAATACTTTGTTTCATTTTGTTTTTGGACCACACTCAATGATGTTCATGGGCCACCCAGCAGCTCCTTGCTTGGGGTTCTCTCTTGCTTGGGGGGGGTCTCTCCTGGGGCATGAGGTACTGGAGACCAAACCCGGACCTTCAGCATATGCCTCAGTCCCTTGAGCAATCTCTCCAGTCCAGATTTTCTTTCTTTTTTTTTTTTTTTTTTAGTTGAAGCATCATGACATTATAACATAATTCCAGGTGTGTACCCTTGTAAATACCTCAGTTGAGTGGATGAGTTTTATTTGTAAAGCCTTAGGACAGGTCTAAGTCAGACCTATAGTTGGGCTTACCTGCATACCTCAAAATCCCTTGGTATCTAAGAGAGAGCTGAAGGGTGGGTTTAACATACCAAGAACGCTTGCGTGTGTTCCATCATTCTCCTCCTTTCCACCCCCCAACTCCCTCCCTGTGACAGATGCCAGAAGAACAGGCCTTCAGTGTTCTGGTCAAGATCATGTTTGACTATGGCCTCAGGGAACTTTTCAAGCAAAACTTTGAAGACCTGCACTGCAAATTCTACCAATTGGAGCGCCTCATGCAGGTAAGAACGCAGCCTGCCTTGCAGTGCTGGTACCGAATCGAAGAGAGCTGGGTGGGTGCCAGGGAGCAGGAAGCCTCATCCGAGCCATCGGGGTTGTGGAAGGTGATTTTTGCTGTAGTTGGTTTTCTTCTTTGTCTGTTTCTCACGCTGTGGTGAGGACACCCAGATGAACAGGGTGAGGCTGATGGGTGTGAGCTGGATTTTGAGTCTCCTAAACACTCAAAAATAAAAACTCAGATGACTCAGCAGGGACCTGGCTGGATACAGAAAACTCAGTCGGGAAATATTCACTGCATGGATGGGAGCTCACTCAGAGGGCCGGAGTGCATGCATACTTCACACGTGGGTGCCTTGGGTTGCGTCCCTTCATACTGGTTCCCTTCATACTGGAGGTAGCTTCTGAGGACTGCGGGTGTGACCCAACAACCAGAAAAAAAGAAATACTCGCCAAGGATCTGTAGTTGACTGGTTAGGCATCTCGTAACAAAAGTAAAACAATCTTTCCCAAGCATCTCATAACCTAGAAGAAAAACTATCCTGTCAATTATTTTTTGCCGTTTGAGGAATTGTCCCTCCCTCCCTCCCTCTCTTCTTCCCTACCGTCCTTCCTTTTGCTTTTTGGGCCACACCAGCAGTGCTCAGGAACTCGGGACTCAATCCTGACTCTAGCTCAGGGATCATTCCTGGTGGGGCTTGGGGGACCTTGTAGGATGTGGGGCCTTGAGCCTGTGTGGGCTGTGTTCAAGGCAGATGCCCTGCCCGCCGCACTGTCTTTCCGGCCCCAACGGGCATTCCTCTTTAACTGCTTTAGGGACTGGAAAAGGCGGTTGCCAGTTTAACGACAGATGAGAAGACAGATGAGAAATACCCTTCTGAACCCTTTTCAGGCTCTGGGAAAATAAAAGGAATTGATTTATTTGTTTGTTTGTTTGTTTGTTTTAAACTATTCCTGGCAATATGAGCTTCTCGAGTGGGGAGTGAACAATTACCTGTGTACCCCCACACTAAGTAGCTTGCTGTTGCAGGAGTACATCCCCGACCTGTACAACCACTTCCTGGACATCAGCCTGGAGGCGCACATGTACGCCTCGCAGTGGTTCCTCACCCTCTTCACCGCCAAGTTCCCCCTCTACATGGTCTTCCACATCATCGACCTGCTCCTGTGCGAGGTGCGTATCTCCCCGCGCCACCGCTTGGCTTCCGTTGGCTCTGTGCTTCCTGTGCCAGCCAGCTCCGGTGCATCTTTGTTTTCTCAGCCCCAGAACATTCGGGTTGAAGTAGTTTTTCTTGGGCCCAGCCTCAGGCTCAGATTGTCTTGCAGATCTGCTCTGGGTTTCAGCCACCCACCCGCATGGTAACCGCCTATATCAGTATTGGGCGTGACGGCGTTTCTTTAAGAAATCCAAAACAGCAGTGATGACAGAAAGTAGAGGTTGACAGTTGCTTTCCTGAGGCTCATAGTTTGGGAAGGTATTGTTTTGTGTAAAATGTGAAGTTAAAGCTAGAAAAGCCATTTTCTCTTCTCTGAGAAACGGGAAAGCAAGGCGACGGCAAGGGTTTCTCGAGAGACAGCATAGAAGCCAGGCACTGACCTTGCATGCAGATGACCCCAGTTTCTGGCACCAGTATAGTCCCCTAGCACCATCAGCTGTGACCCTCAAACGCCACCCCGGCCCCCTCTCCCCTCACCCGCAAAAAATGCTTTTTCAGTGCTGCCGTTATAATTTTTACTTTCCCTGATATTTTCATGCTACTCTCTTTTCTCGAGTTGATATAATTTCTCTAAAATTGCACGTTATTTTGAGAACAGTCAATAAACAACTGAAAATGTTCTTTTTTGTGTTTTTTCCTCTAGGGAATCAGTGTGATTTTTAATGTTGCCCTGGGATTATTGAAGGTACGAGTTCCTTTTCAGCTGAGCGTGACACTGAGTGCCCCCTTCTCTCTGGGCAGCCCCCTCGGAGGGGCCCACGGGAGAGGCTCGGACACAGGCTCACCCGGGACTTTGGGGTGGTTTTTGGTTGTTTGTTTGTTGTTGTTGTTGTTTTAAGATGCTGGGATTATGAAATGCTTCTTGTGCATTTTCATAGCAAAAACTTCCCTGTTGTATTTCCTTAAGACTTCCAAGGATGACTTGCTCTTAACTGACTTTGAAGGTGCCTTGAAGTTCTTCAGGGTTCAGCTTCCCAAGAGATACCGCTCAGAAGAAAACGCAAAGAAGCTCATGGAATTAGCTTGCAACATGAAGGTAAGGCTAGTTTTTTGCACTAATTTAGATTCTTTGGTGGCTCAGCCCTCCTGATCAATCTGTAATCTGATACATAATGATAGAATTGTTTCCTTCTGCTACTTTCTTCCCCAGATTATTTTCGTATGTGTCTGATTTTCATTGCCTCTCCCTGCTCTGAGGGAACTGTTGTCACCATTTGGAAGACAACCCCAAAACTCCAGAAGTTAGCGCTCCCTCACGCTCCATCACAGCCTTATAGTACTCAGCAGTGAACCCAGGTTTCATGTTTTCTATTAACTCTCAATATTTGTTGTGGTCAGAAACTCCCTCAACTGAATTGTGCAGTGCCTGAAGAAAACACGTTCCGTTTCATCACTTCCATGGGTTATGACTTGTACCGCTGTTTGTTTTTGTAGATTTGCTCTCCTTAGGTCCATGCTAAAATCAAGTTTTGTGTTTGAAAGGGAAAGTACCTGAGGGGGGTGGGTATGATCTGGGGATGGAGGCAAGTGGCCCAGAGAGTTGTAGTCAGACTCTTCTAGGGTGTCGAAAAGACTCATGTTTTCTTTCAAGGGCCCCTGAAATTAATGTGTCAGGGCCGGTGTGGTAGGGAAGAAGCGTTGCTGTATATTGTTTAGAGTAAAAACAGGAAGATCAGAGTTCAGTGCTTTTTTTAAGGCACGGATCTTTTTTTTTTTTCTTTTTGCTGTTTTTGTTTTTGTTTTTGGCTGGACTATCTATAGATAGCACAGCGGCAAGGAGTTTGCCTTGCACGCAGCTGACCCGGCCAACAGGGGTTCAATTCCTCCGCCCCTCTCTTAGAGCCCGGCAAGCTACCGAGAGTATCTCACCCGCACGGCAGAGCCTGGCAAGCTCCCCGTGACATATTCGATATGCCAGACACAGTAACAACAAGTCTCAAAACGTTACTGGGCCCGCTCGAGCAAATCGATGAATAACGGGAGGACAGTGCTACAGTGCAGTGCTTGTTTTTGTTTTGGGGTCACACCCGGTTGGTGCTCAGAGGTTGTCTCCCGCCCCCCCGCCCCCACCCCGCTCTGTGCTCAAATCATTGCAGGCAATCCTGAGGGACCGTATGACATGCTGGGGACCAAACCTGAGTTCTGCCACGGACAGAGCAAGCTCCTTACCTCCTGTACTATATTTCCAGCCGATAGGCACAGTTTGTTAAGTAAAAATACCATACTCTTGGTTCTGTATGCCAGGTTAAATTTAATGCAGACTTCTCTTCCTTACGTACTTGGATGCACTGAATAAAATATAACCCAAGAATGTTTGGGGCTGGTGCAACAACAGTACAGTGGGTTGGGTGGTTCCTTGCACACACCCAGCCCAGGTTCCATCCTCAACACCCCTTATGGTCCCTGGAGCCTTCCAGGAGTACGCCCTGAGCACCACTGGGTGTGCCAACACCCTCCCCCCTCAAAAAAAAAAACAAACAAACAAGAAATTAATGTTAAATGATCTAAATGTGGGACTGGAGCGATAGCACAGCGGGTAGGGTGTTTGCCTTGCACACAGCCGACCCAGGTTCAATTCCCAGCATCCCATATAGTCCCCTGAGCACTGCCTGGAGTAATTCCTGAGTGCATGAACCAGGAGTAACCCCTGTTTATCGCTGGGTGTGACTCAAAAAGCGAAAAATTAATAATAAAAATTAAAAAATAGATGATCTAGTTGGTCTTAAAAAGAAAAACATTCATGTGTCTAAAACAAATTAGCCTAAACTAGTGTTTCTGTAAGCTGCTGAAACAGCCCTGAGGATTATGGAGTTGATTAAGCATTATGGTTTTAATCCTCACATAGACACATATGGACACCTGGAATTTGGCAATGGAAACTCAAACCTCTACATAAGTCCACAGATGACTTTGAAATGGGTATTCCTGTTTGGGAAAAGAAAAATACAGAAAAACTGTACCTATAAATCTAAGAAACAATAGAAAACATAACAAAATGAATGGAGAATTTGAGTAAAGAACTAAAAATTAAAATGTCAGTAAAAGTAAGTAAGTTAGTAAAGGCCCTCCCGTTGATCATCGATTTGCTCGAGCGGGCCCAGTAACGTCTCCATTGGAGACTTTGTTGTTACTGTGTCTGGCATATGGAATACGTCACGGGGAGCTTGCCAGGCTCTGCCGTGCGGGCGAGATACTGTCGGTAGCTTGCTGGGCTCTCCGAGAGGGGCGGAGGAATCGAACTCGGGTCGGCCATGTTGGCTGCGTGCAAGGCAGACGCCCTACCGCTGTGCTAAGGTTACTTAAAGTGTTCAGTATTTCACAAAGAGTATATAACTAGTGTTCAGTGATGCTTTGCTTCTCTGGGTGAAGAATAATGAAATATATATATATGTATATAGACATATATATATATATATCTGGAGCAATAGCACAGTGGGTAGGGCATTTGCCTTGCACGCAGCCAACCTGGGTTCTGTTCCTCCATCCCTCTCGGAGAGCCCAGCAAGCTACTGAGAGTATCCTGCCTGCATGGCAAGAGCCTGGCAAGTTCCCCGTGGCATAGTCGATATGCCAAAAAGACTAACAACAGATCTCACAATGGAGATGTTACTGGTGCCCACTCGAGCAAATTGATGAACAGCGGGAGGACAGTGCTTACAGTGCAGTGCTACATATGCATATATACATACACACACACACAAACAGATTAACTACAAACCTATGTCACTCCTGGTAATTAGTAATGGTTCAAATTACGAGAGCTACTACCAGATTCTTTTCTCTGGTGTATCAAGCAGAGACTGGAAAGATATCAAACACTTTCCAGTATCATTTCAAAGAGAGTGAATTTGTGCAAGGAACATGGAACCAAGTGAGCACTGCTGGGTGGCTGGGTGGGCCCATTTGGGGGGACAGGGGAGCCTTGCGGTTGCAGACTAAACCTCCCCCGAAGATTTCTCACCTTTGGGGTGTTCACTAGCTTGGAATCTTGAAAAATAGTTGAATAATAGGGGATCCTTCTGTTTCCGTTTTCTGTGTGGGGCTGTTGGATGTCTCTTTTTCCCTTTCGTTTTTCCAGCTCACCTGTTCTTTCAGGGAATTACGGACGACAAAGCTGCACTGTGCACAGTTTGCATTTAGCCAAGTGATTCCTCCTAGCACTTGGGGATCTCTGCAGGACTCGGGTGTGCTTGGGGCAGTTTCCCCTACCTAAGTTTGGTTTAGGGTGAGAAACGTCACAGCGTGCAAAAGCCCACAGACTCCCCGGAAGAAGAGAGAAGGAGATTTTTCTACCTCCGGGTTGGATGTGGCAAGTTTGGTTTAGTTAGTGATGATCAGTTGTACTCTGGCAGCAGCTCTTAATGTCGTAAAACATTAGGGAAGAAATAGGCACTTGTTGAGCCTGTTGCATAAAGAACCTCATTCCCAGTGATAATTTGCCAGCTCAGAAACAAGAAAACTCATTGACGAGCCCGGTCATTAGCCCTGGGCTGTGTGGACCTCAGGCAGTATGGGGCCTCAGGCAGGACAAAAAGAGAAAAATGCGTGCAATTTCCTAGGACTTCAGCGCCCTCTCTGTATACGTGAAAACTGGATTCCTACTGTGTGGGAACTCTGGGGTAGGATCTAGAAAGGAAGCCTCCGCTCTATATTGTATTAAAAATCTCATTCCATTGTTCTTTGTTTTTCAGTTGTGGCAAGTTTTTTCTTTTAAGCTGTGCTTCCTAATTGTGGTGTGAATTGAAACTGCTTTGCCTCTCATTCAAGTCAGGGATCAAATACCCAGTCGATGGTGGAGGGATTGATGTAGTATTGTAGACTGTGATACCTCAATAAATAAGGAGCTGGAGCCATCATATAGCATTTGTATGCTATGTGCAAGGTAGGGCATTTGCCTTGCATACAGCTGACCTGGGTTCAAACCCTGGCGTCTCAAAAGGTCCCCTGAGTCGACTAAGGGTGATCTCTGAGCACAGAGCCAGAAGTAAGCCCTGAGCACTGCCACATGTGCCCCCAAACCAAAATAATAATAATTTATCATTTTATCTTATTTACTTATTGACTTTCTGGATCACATCAGGTATACCTCAGGGGTTACTCCTGGCTCTGCACTCAGGAATCACTTGGTGCTCAGGGGACCATATGGAATGCCGGGGATCAACCCAGGTCAACCACATGCGCGGCCATGTGTCCTGTGCACTGCACCATCACTCTGGCCACAATTTATCTTTATCAAATCTTTTCTCTTCTGTTCTCTCTTCCCCTAAAAAAACCCATTTTTTGTTGTCATTCTTAGCAATATGATTTTAGCGGTTATAGTTATATTTGTTATTTTTAGGGCTTTTATTAGCATCTTAATTGTTTCAGTAAATTGAGCAAATCGCGTACAGAAACCAGGAGAGTTTCTGGCTAGGAAGAAGTCCCCTGGTGGAATTCATTCCTTTTCCCTCTTCTCAGACAAGACATTCCAATTAGTGTGGCTGTACCAGAAATGGCCACAAGAGGGCGGTGCTACTCAAAGTGTCTCAGGTACCTGTCTTCCTTTTCTAACAAGTCTTTCTGCTTCAGTTTGCCTGACCTTACCTTCCTCTGTTCTGTCCTTCTACTTCTTTTTTCCTTTCTTGCCTTAATTTATGACGGAATTGAAAGATTTATTTTAGACGTTTTTCTCTTAGTCTCATATTTAGTAGCATCTATCAGCTGGCCTCTGAACTTCACTTTTTGTGGGTCAGTGACCTAATACAGATCTGAATGGAACTGCACTTGAAATGGGTTATTCTAGGATGCGGTAATGGCCCTAGTAACTGCGGAACCCTTTCATCGTCCTGCAGTTTTGGAACATAATCATGAACATAATTTGACTTATTTAGAATTATATTTGGGCTAGAGCGATAGCACAACGGGTAGGGTGTTTGCCTTGCACGCATCCAACATGGCCGACCTGAGTTCGATTCCTCCACCCCTCTTGGAGAGCCCAGCAAGCTATCTCGCCTGCACAGCAAAGCCTGGCAGGCTATCCATGACGTATTCGATATG